GCTGCTAATGCTCCACAGGTTCGTAACCTGACCTACATGGTGACTCGGAGAGAGAAGATGAAGCGGTCGTTGTGGAAAGTCCAGGAGCAGATCTTCCAGCACCAGGTCCGACTGCTTGACCACGAGCTGCTCAGCGGTGAGTCCATGAGATGAACAAACTGTAATAGGTTTGCATGTGGTAGCTTCCACATGAACTTTGCATTCATGTTAGTAAACCTAGCTAGTAGACAGTGTGTCCCATCAGCTTTCTCAGGTCTGCAGGTGAGAAAGCTGCAGACCTGAGCTGCACCCGCCTGCAGTTTGTAACGTGTTGAGATATTTTGTATTGAATTATAAAAGTGTGTTTCTGCACACACGACTTCAGATGTGGGGTTTGGTCATTTCTGTATATTTGCACCCAGCAACTATTTGCTGAGCTGATTGAAAGGCCATCAGTAGGCGACGTGTTACAGGCTACGTCAAGTAGATCTTTCTGGATTTCCTTGATGGCGTCACTGATCGCACGTGGAAACTTTAGCGAGAGAAGGGCAGAAATTAGGATGTGACTTGCACACAGGTCATGTTCATCATCCTATTCCCAGGTCTGATTCGTGCTCAGTAATAAGTCAGCACAATGTTAAAGCTACTTCCTGTATCAAAAGACTACAAATGTTTGCTACATACGAAAAAAATTGAACTGGTGCTCGCAGCAAAGCCCTGCGTTCTGCTGTTGGCCTTTACATCAGGATAGAAATATTAGAAAAAGCAACTAATTTGGCTGGTTGATAATTACAGATAGTTACCTCTCATGTTTTAATAAACCTGTATGTTTTTTGTGTGTTTCAGGCGATCCTTCAGCAAAGGATCTGGAAAAGCTGTTCTCTCTGGGCTGGTTATCGTCTCAGGGCTCCCAGTCTAGCTCCTCCTGGAGCCCCTCTGGACTGAAGACCAAACGAAAGGAAAAAAGGAAAAGCAGCGAGAGAAAAAGCCTGCCCAACTCACCGCACACTCAAAAGAAAGACAATCTGAGCAAGGCATCGGAGACGAGGGATAGCAAAAGCTCCCAGATCAAAGAGCCCGCAGCCATGGAGGCCAGAATCCAACACATCAGCCAGGAGACACCGTTTAAAAAACTCCCAAAGCCAGAGGTCATTCAGGAACCAGCCGTCGTCAAACTGCCCAAGCATGAGAGCCGGAAAGGCCAGAGAAGGGAGGCTGCGGAGCCCGAACTGGAAGCGAGACGAAAACGGGATATTGAGCATGAGCAGGAGGAGAGGAGGAGGAAAAAGGGGAATGACTCCACAGAAAGCTTCACCAGCCAGGGGAAGAACAGGTTTGGGTCAAAGCATCTGGAGAAAACGGTGTCCATCAGACTGGTAGACATCAGAAACTCTGACTCAGACAACTACTTCATAGATGAAGGGATCAAAAGAAGCCCGGTCTCTCCGGATGTGACGAGCAACACTAAATTTAACAAAGCCAGCACGGTGTCAGACACCGCTCCCAGCGCCAAGACCAACGGCTGGCTGAGGAGAGCCTCGGCCGACAGCTCCCACGCATCTAACGGGCCCGAGGCTGCACAGCTGAGAAGCTGGGGGAAGTTCAGGATCCCAAAGAGGAGCGAGAAACCCGCAAGTATAACGGAGCAAAAGCAGGCGGAGCTACACAAGCCCCTGCTCAGGCCACTGACCAACACGCCCAAGCCGTCATACCCCAGGACCCGACTGCGCACGGGGACGGAAAACGAGGACTACACGTCCGACTCCAAGGCGGGCGACGGCGAGCTGGAGCCCTGCCTGAAACGATGCCACTCACACCAGCTGAGAGGCGACTCGTCACTCAGCCGCCGCTACGTCTCTGACATCATTCGCCGGGGCGTCCTGGCGTCCTGATGACGGAACTCTTAGAAATTAAGCTGCACTGTGTTGTTCGGAGAAGAACGACAGCCGCTCTTTGTACCTTTATTTTTCTCTAAATCCTAAACAAAACAAAAAAGGCTAGAGTAAAAACAGAGCTGATATTTATTTTTTATTTGTAACATATGTAAAACTGGGAAATATTTTATTTTATTTTGTGCTAGTTCTTTTTTTTTCCTTTCCTCAGAATAGAAAGATGTCAAGTTGCCACTTAATCGCTCGCTCAGATATAAACAAGCAATAGCATCAAAGTTGGGATTGTTGCTTGGGACCATAAGCTTGCTATGTCTTTTCTTTTCGTCTCTAGTATTAAACTCGGCCATGAGTCAGTTGCACTTAGTGGAAGAATCAGAAGCAGGTAATCCTCAGTCATACTGTCAGTGATCAGGACTGCGTAGGTCTTCTTTTTAATTAATCAGGCTTCATCGGACCTCGACCGCTTCGAAGAGGAGGTCAAACTGCCCTTTTAACGCTGTTTAAACGAAGTACTTCTTCAGTCTGTGGTTGTCCTACGCGATGACGCCGGGCGGGGGTGGGGGTGGGTTGGCAAACTGAAACAGGAATTCAGAATGATGTTTTACTCGTCATCAGCACTTAAGTGTAATTTGAACTGCGATCGTATCCATCATGTGCCTAACTTTTATTTGAAGCGTTTGCACTACGAGAGGACGGCACAGGTGTGAGTAGAGTTATTTTTACACTGAATAATTAAAACAAACAAAAAAAGAAAGCGTTTTGTACCCTTGGCCGCTGCTGTACTACTGTTATGCAAAATATTATTTTTTTGTTGTTGTCTTAAAGAGGAATAAAAACTCTGCTGGACTGAAAAATGGTTTCTGTGTCTCATTGATGAGTTGTAGAGATACAGTAACTGATCAGTCATTCAAGGTTTTGTTAAAATGCTCTCATCCTGAAGATCTTATAAAATAAAATACTTTTATTCTGGTGTGAGTAGTTGGTTCATGTGCGAGGAGGACCTGTGTGCATGTCTTACTCCATGAGGGCCTGTTGCCCTGCAGAGGGACTTCTACTCACTTTGCAGCTTGACTGAGAACATCAGGAGTGCCAGGTCCACCTATGGGTGCCCTGAATGCAGGTTACAGGCGTCGAAGTGTCTATAGACACTGGCAAATGTTAGGCTGCCTTCAAACGTCCTCCAGTGTGACTGGTCAGAGCTGGTTTTAGGAGGATGTCCTTGTAGGGTCACAGAACTCTGTGTGGTACAGCTCAGACTCTACAGGTCTCAGCATGTTAAATGTTAACGTTTATGACAATACCATTAAAGACTGAGGGCTGCTGAGCTTTATGTTTGCAAAGCTGCATCTAACACACCACGAGACTTCTGGAACAACGTCCCCTGAACAGGTGACCAAAGAGATGTTCGGCGATGAGTCAGCGCCACGTTTGGTGAAAACCAATCACATCCACATCAGCACAAACACGTCATGATGGCTGTTGAGGGAGAGGTGACGATTAGGATCTTAGAGCTGTGCATAACCTCAGTGAACTGAAGCAAGAGTGGACCAAAACTTCCCCCACAACGATGTGAGAAACTGACAAAGTCACTGAAAAACATTATCGCTGCTAAAGGTGCTTCATAAGTTTCAAAGTGACAAACAGCTGATTTCAAAGAGAGGCAACAAAGGCGTCTCATCTTCATTTTGGTGGAAGAAGAAAACTAATCCAGTAATCAGATTACTTCTCATCTCTTGGTCCACAGACTACAGTGGAGTTCAGTGTGGTTCTGAAGGTCAACATGGTCCATGTAGAGTCATCAGAGGCTTGTTAATGCAAATCATCTTGCAGCACTGGGATGTAGCATTGTAATACCTGGATGTTGTTGCCGTCCCAAGATTCTTTTCTCCTCACTATCCCTCACCTGATTCACCTCGTTTCCTTTTCTCACCTTTGGAGTTTGCCCTTAATCGCATTCACCTGTCACCTGTCACATAAGGACTGCACTTACTCTTTTCACTCCCACATAGGGCGGCAGCTGAGAGTTAGCAGCCCACGTGTGTCCTTTACAGCAACAGATGACTGTTCATTCACATTCTGACTGGATGAGCCCATGATGATAATCTCAAAATTCCTTTGAACCTCCTCGTTAACACCGGACACTGAGGAAATTTGACTCATCTCGTTGGCAGCTTAAAAAGAAAAAAAATTCCATCACAACTAGATAATTCCAAAGATGATTTATGATTTGAACGTCTTTATTAAAAACAAAACCACAACTGACTTTATGCTGTATAAAGCAAGTATTCTGGCTCCTGACTGAATTATGCGGAGGCGTGTCATCTCACACTGGTGTCTCGGTGAAAACAGACGTACATTTATTTCTCTCAGTTACACAGAAAAAAGCAGACGGTGGATACATGTTCAACCACTTTTTATTGCACGATTCAGCTGACGTGAGATCCTGCACAAAAGTGTTTCAGCACTGCATCAAGGGGAAGAAAAAAAAAAAAGGACACAAACTTGTATATTTACAATAAATGCATCACTATTACCACTTATACATTATGTACATATTAGTCTGGTTTACTATGACAGTAGTTACAGAATGAAACCCCTACACGCATTACACTTCAGCTCTACAGGGAATTACAGTGCTTTCAAAATAAAAAAGAAAAAAGGGACTGGTTGGACTACATTCACTCAACGGAACAATAAATCAAGGTTAGGATGAAGATCATTAACATAGGAAGTCAAAAATACTCGCTGAACACTTGGACACGTCCCAGTCACATGACCTGGGGAAAAAATTTACAAAAAAAAAAAAGTGCAGTTATTAAAATAAAAACAAAACAAAAAAAAAAAGAGAACAGCCTCCTGGTGGATGTATACAAGTAAAATCTGCTTCCGAGTCTTTTTTAAGAGATTAAAAAAAAAAGTTGCTGAAACAAGCGACCTGTTTGGAAGAGAGAATTTAAACAGACAAATGTGAAGTTAAAGGCACAAGAAATGTCTGCAGCCTCGTCACCGACTCAAAGAGAGCAGCAGCAGCGAGACCTAAATATGTCAAATCCGCTCAGGAAGCATAATCAGCACTTTTCAGGCAAAAACTGGCAAAAGTGTGAAGGTGTCACATGATTACAGCAACCTGATTGTGCTCTTCCCTTGACAGGTGTGTGTGCGTTTCAGAAGCAGTGGTTTCAGAGCTCTATTGTCAGACTTGGCTCAGCTCAGCACTTTAAATAAAAGAAAATCATTACATACATGAAGATACACCTGCGGGAACGCTGTTTTAACACCTTCAGGGGAAAAAAATTTAAATTGGGTGGGTGGGGTGAGGGTGTTGGTGGCTTGGCTGATGCTTTCCGGTGCAGAAGGTAAATGCAGAGACTCCCCCCTGCACAAATATCAGGACTTGCTTTTAGGCAGTCTAGTGAAATGCTGCGCAATCGAACAGAAGCACTGAGCTCCCTCATTCTGTGACCTCAGCAAACGCTGGCAGTCGTCGGCCAATGACAGCGACTCGTCACGTCTCGTATCGGAACGTCAACATTTTGAAAAACCCCTCAGCTTCAGGCCTCGTTTTGGGACTAGGGGGACATGGTGGCTGTGCCCATCCTTACACCATCTGCAGGGTGAGGTTATGAAACTTGCATCAGCCAAACACGGGCAAAGTATTTTAGCAGTTTTATGCTCAGCCAAGTGTCTGACACGTAGCCCTCGGGGCTCATCGTTAAATGCGACAAAAGTACACGTCAAATATTAAGATGCGTTACGTTAGCCAGTGTGCTGTCGTCTGCCAGTGTGCGAGTGTTAAATAATAACCGGACTGCAGTTCTGAGACAAAAACCTCCGGAGGATTTAAAAAAGAAAGAAAGAAAAAAAAGTTTCTTTTTTTAAATCTCAGATTACGTCGATAAAAAGCCCGGCTTTCAGACAGCATTATTATATCTCCAGCCTAAAATCTGCGGAGATCAGATATCAGACACTACAGTGGATATTTAAAAAAAAGAGAGAGAGAGAGCACCTTAAGGACTCTGAACTGACCCGAAAAGTCACCGTCATTCCTTCGAGAATGTGGCTCATCATCGAACAGAGTATTTAAGACCTGGAAATCCTCCAAGTAGTGTTTTTTTGTTGTTGTTGTTTTTCAAGTCACAGGGCAGTTTTCAGACTGCTCTCGTTTTTAATACCTTCTGTAATCCCTCGTTTACTGGACATGCTTCACACTGTTCAACATCTTTGTTTCACAAATAAACTCAAATAAAAAATAAAAAAATCATAAAATTACTTAAAAAAAAAGTTCAAACTGAGCTAAAACAAAAACAACAGCACACGTCTACAGTTACAGGTCATCTATGGCTACAAAAACAAAAGAGGTCATCTGACGCCTATCCATAGTGTCTTGGTGTTCCATATTACATCTGGCATATATATATACTATATATAAAAATAAAAACAATCCATTTGGCAACCTGTGTGATGTCTTACACTACTCCAGTAATTATACTTTTGGTCTTCGATATACACATATAGATATAAGCTATAAAACTCTGCTGTTCAAGAGGAGGGGGCCCGACTGAGGTTCAAGTTAGACGGTGACACTGGCACTTGGTTTCAGTCCTGGCTGGATCAGTGTTAATGCAGACGCCAGCTCATTTCTTCTGTTATATACACGAGGAAAAACGAACCAACAAGCTGACAGTAAGAGAAGAGGCTGTTTGGTTTCTGGAGGAATGAGTGTCCGGACCTGTGCTTGCTCTGCTGATTTGTGCTTCACCACAGATGGTTTTGCCTCAATGCAGACGAGACGGGGGGAGAGGGGAAAAAACAAAACAAAACAAAAAAAGCCTGAAAATTTCAAAAGTAAAAAACAAAAAGACTCTTGAGCGATGAGCCATTGCTGAGCATGTGAGAGATCAGCAGCTTTCCCTGATAACAAAGATGTACAGTGCCTTGGTTCCTGTGAAAACACTATATGTGGATGGGGAAGAAGGGGGCCCGAGTCTGGTTTGGTGTTTTTGGCTCTGTGAAAGGTCACTTCAGGTGTCTGCGGCTTTTCTCTTGGAGCCCTTTGTTTTGCCCTCTGCTCCCTCCGCCTTCTTGGAGCTTTTAGAGGAACGACTGACGGCGGCGGCCGTTTTCGTCTCCGAGTCGATATCCTGGGTGTGGCTGTCGCCTCCCTCCGGCTCTTCGTGCTCCATACAACACAGCTGTCCTGTGGGAGGCCAGGGACGCAGCGCCCCCTCCTGGTGAGCCTTGCAGAAAGAGTTGGGGCAGAGTTGGCAGAAGGCTTCAGAGTTTTTCCCACAGACGTCACAGTGATGCCAGGGGCAGTCCCAGCGGCCTGTGGAGAGCCACGACACTTTCACTAGAGCTCAGTCAGTTACATCACATCAAAGAAGAGCCTCACGGTGCCCGTGTGGGGCCTTAACATTGCGAGAGGCATCAATTTTGATAAAAAACACATTATTGTAAAAACAGCTAAAAACAAATGAAAAAGAAGGATTAAAGAAATAGGCAGCCGAAGCTCATTTCTCCTTTTATGCTGGAAGCAGTAAAGCTCTCTATTTCCATCTCCTCTGCAAACTTAGTGATTAGTCACCAGGTGCAGCAACTTTCCTGGGGGTAAACAGACTCCCTCCTCTCTGACAGCCTGGTTTTGACTCATTTAGTTCGGACTCGTTTGATGTGAGTAAAATAAAATACAGACTAAATAAGTGAAGTTTGCTTGCTGCCATGTAATCTGTGAGTAATAATAACAGGGAGTTAACGTAGCATAAACAGATGCATTCAGACTGTCTGTGGAGTCTTACCGAACGGTCTCTTGGTGAGGTTCAGGCAGGACAGGTGATAAGCTTTGGTGCAGGTCTTCTTGTCGCAGAGCACCAGCTGCCCTCCGTCTCCACAGCGGAAACACTCGTCCTCAGACTTTTTCTTTCCCTCCGATTTCCTCTTTTTATACTTTCTCTTCACCCTCTTTCCTTTTGG